ACCCCTAAACTAACACCTGTGTTCCAGGTCTGAGCAGCTCCCATGGCAAAGAAGAGAGGAAACAATGAGCTTTATAAAGAACCATATTTATTTTCATTTACAGCATCAAATACCATAAATAAAGCTAAACATTTTTGCTGTGTGCAAAATACAGGGTTCCATGTGGCACTGTAAATGACTGTTGAAGGTCACAAACATGCATTGCCATGAGATGGAGAGGCTAGCTAAAGAGGGGGTGGAGAGGGGAAGGGGGCACTCTTTGGTTGACATTCTATAAAGGGAGGGAGATTCTGCAAGAGAAGATAAGAAAGAGCATTGACTCAGTACTGGCCAGGATCTGCACCAGTGCAGGGGGTAACGTAGCATGAGCATGCAGGGCAGTGCAGCTGGGCCCGGAGATCAGCGTGGCTCTGGGTTGCATGCAGGACAGACTCTACCTCAGCCTGAGACCGCGAGGCCTGCCTACGATGGCTCCACCATTCTCGGAGAGGTGTTTCTCTCTAAAAGCACTCTGAACATCCTGCTGCTCCAGGTAATGAGTCAGCAGGGAAAGTGTGCTTTGAGCAGGGCCATGGGGGCACTGAAACTGGCTGCCCCAGGGGCTGAGCTGGGTCATTTCCCAAAACCTCCCTGGCCTGTGACATGACTGCTCTAATTGAAGCTTCTGCCTCATCTGAGACTCTGTGAGCCAAGAGAGATAAGAAGAGCTGTGCAGGGCAAAACCCTGAATCTACGGTGTAGACTGCAGCAGGGAAAGGATTTGCTAAGAAAATTGTGACGATGTGTTCACAATTCAGAGCATGGATCAAGCCTGGGAGGGGTATTTTTTTAATCCTTCCAAAAAGAGTCACCTCTGGTTTTGATCAATGACATTAATAATCTTTATATTAGAACCAATTTCAGGAGACGGTTATATGAGCGAGCTTTTTCAGAGACTCTAGACACATGTGTCCTTTTCAAAGGTGGCAGAGCCCCCCTGTGGTCCTGTCTCGGTCAGAGCTAACCCTCCCAGGAAGGCAGCGGCTTTGTCAGTGCAACTGAGAGCATGCGCAGGCCGCGGGCACAGGGCAGGCGGGACGTGCACCTGGCGGGCCGGGCTGCGACTCAGAGATAAGTGCAATTGGAAACGGCTTTCGAGCTGAACACCACCCCACGCTGTTCACCCACCATGCCACCGGCTGAGTCGGTTAGTACGCAAGACGGCAAGACACTCGCAGTTAGCGCAACGAGGACCACGGCCGGGAGGACAGGGTGCGGAAAGTGGCTTAGGGGTTAGTCCCACCCTCTGAAAATCAGCAAGAAAACCAGTCACCTCAGAGCAGAAGTGTGTCAGCCAAGAAGTGGGTGTAGCACTGGAAGTCGGAAATGAGCTGAAGGCCACAGTGTAAGGTTGGAAAGAGAAAGACAGAAATGAGAGTTTAGTTTTGAGGGGGAAAAAGGAAAACAACCAACAACAAGAGAAGACATGGGAATTGAAAACAAGGCAATCGTTAAAAAGGGGGCAACGTTCCCAAACACGTCACTGCCTGCTTAGAACAAATGAACCTTCCTGGCAGTGAGCAGGCCCTTAGCTACAAGAGCGGGCACATGTGGTTTGCATTTGTGACACTCCACAGCTCTCCACTCAGCTCCACGTGCTCTCAGGACCCCCATCCCCGATATCCTATTGGCCCTGGTTTTACTCTGGTGTCTCATAGTCACTCTCGAATCCACTGTGGAAGCTTAGAGGCATCCGCCCCCTGGGATCCACTGTGTGTTTGGTGCTGCCCACCAGGAAGGTTCAAAGTCCCAGAACATACAAACATCTCAGGCTTCCGACAGGCACACCCTGTCTCACCAGTAATTCAAACCAGTCTCTTTATGGCCATAAATGACATTCTCAGAGATTCTAACTGTGGCTCATAGAGCATCCACAGAGTATCACAGCCTGCCCTGAGCTGATAATAACAATGATAGAGCTGTGCTTCTGTTCACATCATGACCTGGAGAATTTACTTTCTGGAATCAAACATAAAATGAATCAAGGGCTCCTCCCCCCCATACTGAACATTAAAATCTCAGCACAGTTTTGGAAACACACAATGCACGTCATTGGACTGAGAACAGTTCCAACTGGGACAGAGGTGTCCATCCCCATGGACATGACCACAGCCAGACCCTATTTTACCCGAGGTTTTCAGGGAAGTGTTTGTAGAAATGCCTTCCCTCTTCTTCTCACCCTATAGAAACTTGTCATCTCAGAGCCTTCAAGAGCTCTGGCTCCAAACCCACACCAGGCTCCATCCTCACTTGGTCTGGAGGAGATCTCTAGGGTAACAAGTGCATGGAGCTGTCTCTGGCCCAGCAATTCGAGATACACTGAGCATGGCACAAGGCCTTTTTCTATCAGCCTCTCCACTGTTCAGCCAGACCCAGCAGCTGTGCATGTCCAGGCAGAGTGGAGTGGGGGGAGCCCAGGCATCCTCTGGATGCCCAGGGAGAAGAATGCAGGTAGGCCAATGCTTGTTTTTGCCCCTAATAGGACACATTTCTTTGCATCAGTCAATAAACAGCTTCCACTTCCAGCCTCCCCTGCCAATCAAGACACAGGGGACCTTCCCTCTGGAGGTCATACACATTCCTTTACTAGGACAGTATGAAATTAAATGGTCTCTATTTTGACCAAATATACACAGTGGCTGAGTGGCTAAGCAGCCAGCATGTCTGTAAGCAGTGCTCACTGGGTAGGCCACGCTTCCCAGAAATAATACCCCGAGGTGCTAACAAATGTCCTCAGTCCCAAAGGACGTGATATGAGAGGGCAGATTCTTCCCTCAACCTGACCACTGAGGACCCTGAGTGGCCTTGGCTCAGACTGCAGCCTGGGCTGGGGACCCGAGAGGGAGCCCCAGGGGTCAGAGCTCCTGGCCCATGCCGCCAGCTGACATGGCTCCTCTTCAGCAGGTTGCATCAGCTGGTGGAGCTCTGCATGGCCAGGTGCCAGTGGCTTTAGCTGCAGTGCTCATTAGCGGGAAGGAAAAATGCTTATTTGCAGCAATCTGCTCGAAACCCCATGGTTCTCTGTCATTTGGCTATAATTTGGTATGGGGTAGGCGGGGGAAACTTTAAGCTACTATTTTACATCAAAACAAGGGAGTCAAACAGTCCCAGAGGGAGGACATATAACAGCCAGCTACACACTGCCATGTGCTTTGTATGCTTAATTCTACTTTTCTTCTAAAACGGTTATGCTTCCATGTTGCAAAAAACTGCCCCCTCTTGACAAGTGGCATCCGGGTACATAAAAGGAAAGGCACTGGTCAGGAGATGGCACACTCACTTTTGTGGACATGAAAGCCCACTCACCAACGTGGCAGGCAGCGACTGGTACAACTGGGTGAGGAAGGGGTTTGTAAGACCCATGTTTCGAAAACTCGGCACGCATGGTAAAAAAAAAAAAAAAAAAAAAAATGCTTTTTCTTGGATTATTAAAAGTTAAATATTGAAATGTAAACCTAGAAATACAACTCACTTTGGTATAAAAGAAACGCAAGTCTATAGAAACGCCCTTCATGCTGTGCTGCGGAGCACCGAGCAGAGGCCCCCGAGGAGCCCTCTGGCTGTGCCTAAGGGGTGACAGGCCGCCCGCCCGGCCGCCCCGGGATGCGAAGGCCGGGCGTCAGCAGAGCTTGCCCGCGGCCGGGCAGTGCCCGAGCACCCAGGCGCGGATGCCCTCCAGGGCCTCGGCGGACTCCCGGCACATGGCAGCCAGCACCTCGGAGAGCACCCACAGGAGGGGCAGCCCGAGGCTCAGCAGCTCGTACGTGTAGCAGTAGTTGTGCGCATTGTCCCTGAAATGCCGGCCGGCGGCGCGCAGGAGCCCCC